ATGTATATATATATATGTGTGTGTATGTATACATACGTATACATGCCATACCAACCATACCGTACCGTACCGTACATTACCATTGCACTACCATTGCATTACCATGGAATTATAATTGCATTACCATTGCGTTGCCATTGCATTACATGACGTTACATTCCATTACATTGCATTACAGTACATTACAGTACATTACAATACATTACATTCTATACATATATACGTATATACGTATATACATATATACATATATACATATATTTATATATACATATATACATATATACTTCTATACAGATATACATATATACATATATATACATATGCATACATATATATATACATATGCATATATATACATATATACATATATACATATATACATATATACATATATACATATATACATATACACATATATTCATATATTCATATATACATATATACATACATACATATATACATATGTACATATATATAGATATATAGATATATATTTTCATAGATATACATGTGTGTGTATGTATATATATATATCTATATATACATGTATGTATTATATCATATATTAGGTTTATTTATATATACGTGTTGTGAACCCAGCCCCTGATGTAAAGTGCCTAGTTGTCTGACCCCTTCTGTTTGTAGGGCTACTGGGGAGCCGCGTTGAGTTTACTCCGCTTGCTCCTGTCACTTTGTTCAAGATGGTGAGCTGTGACTCCGGTTTCACTGCAGCTTTGCAAAGCAAGGTTGTGGCGCAACTGAGCAGTAGCCGACCGTGCGACAAAGGGTGGCAAAAGGTGATCTCTGGGCCGGTGAGGTGAGACTGGCGGGACCCCAAACACCCCTTTTGGTTCGCAGTTGGGGGCTGTTCTGGGAAATCTGAGCTGAAAGAACCGAAAGGGTCGAGGCTACTATAGCTCACCGCCAGCATGGCTCGGGAAGTACGAATGTTCGACCGAACATTGCTGGAAGCAATCGAGGAAGGTATAGTCCCAAGGCTGGGGCTATTGACCTATCAAGATTGGAACTCGTGGCGTGCCAGGGATGGGCAGCGCCCGAGCAAGAGGAGACATGGAGATGACGAAAGAACCACGACGACTGCAGAAGAGGCGCAGTTGTGGAGGACCGTGATGGAAGCGCTGTACGGCCCTGAATGGAAGGACCAGTTGGCTGTGGCCGGGGGTGCCTTGGAAGAGACAGAAGAAGAAGAGGAGGAAGAAGAAGAAAGACCTCCCACTACCCTGGCCAGGGCACCAGAAGGCGGGGTTCGAGCGGCCGAAGGCGCCGAACCACCGGCCATAGGTCCAGGCGGGTCGGCTGCGTCTTCCACGGTTGGTGGTGAGTCCGTGTTCCGTGATATGTCTCTTGTTCGGTTGCAAGAGGTTTTTCTGAAGGATTACGCTCCTGGGTCCGAGACGGCAGTCCGGTTCGCAAAAAGGTTGCGGCGGGTGTCGGAGGCCTTAGGCTGGCTGGGAGAAGAAGTGGACGAAGCCTCAATGGAGCGGCGGGTCATCCGCGCCCTCTACTGGGAAAAGATCTACGAGGCAGATGAGGAACGCCAATTAGGCCTGCTGAAGGAATTCTTCCAAGAGCTTGTTTTGGATGAACCGCCACATGCAGGAGCAAGAGCAGGAGCATGAAAGGCGAGTGTCAGTTCTGCTCGAGATGATCCAGGAAAGAGGAGGCCAGCTGAGTATAAGTCTGCGCAAAGGCTCTTCTCCTCGACCGAAGGCACTCCGGAGAAGGAAGTGGACGCTTCTAAAAGAGCTGGTCCAGCCACTCCGCGGCGGAAAGGCCTGCGGGAGGAAACTCCTGCGGACGATTGTCGCGGAGGGGACAGGTGAAGGGAACCGAGAAGGGAAACTCGGGTTGGCCAAAATACTTCAGAGATAGATCAGCTGAAGAAACGCCTCCTGGAGCTCGAGGGCGACGTGCGTTCAGAAGGAAGCCGCCTTCGATGCGTCTGCCTTCGCTGAAGCACTGGAAAAACAGACAAAGGTTATGACAGAGGCTTTGACCCGCAAGAGCAAGAGATCCACGATCCAGGTGACGCCTAAGATTTCTTGGCCTATGCTGGACGATGAGTGCAGCGACTATCGCTCAGTCCAAGAATTCTATGATACTTTTGAGGCCACCATCGGGTTGGCCAACGATGGAGATGGAATGACGGATATCGAAAAGCTGACTACGCTGAAGGCCTGCTTGAAGCAGCACCGGCTGAAGACGTATGAGCTGGTATACCGCCGCCATTTGGCCACGGGATTGGTGCAAAAAGATCCGGGCCAAGTCTATGATCAAATCAAAAGTAAGCATCTCCTGTTTTCGGAAACAGCTGAGGAGAAGCAGATCAGAGTCCTGGAAGAAGGAGACGCTCTTGAAAAAGGAAAGCTGTCGGCATTCCAATGGGAAGTACGCTGGGAGTCTCACCTGGCCGACCGTGATGGGATCGGGCTAGGCCTCAACAAGACGGAAGGTTTGATCCAGTACTTGCGAAAAATCGGGCCCAACCTCTCCAAGGATGTCCGGCGAGACAAAAGGTTCCGTCCGGGTGGGAAAGGAGGAAATGCCTTCCGGGGATTGAGGAGACCAACGCGGGTCAAAGAGCGTTGAACAACAGCACCTTCACCCATGGACCGGAAAACAAAGATCAGCCCAAGAAGGAGAAAAAGCCTGACAAAGTGCTAGTCCAAAGCCCTGAGGCAGCAGACGCCGGCAAGTTGAGGCAGGTGTGCTTTGACATGAGGGACCGAGGGACCTGCGCAAGGGGCAAAGACTGCAAGTACGTCCATGACAAGGCAGTAGTAGATGAAGCCAGAAAGAAAGCCTTGCGGGACAAGAAGTCCGCGGGAAACAGCCAGGAGAGAACTTCCAAGCACAGCAGCTACCGGGATGATCAGCTCCTGCAAGAAGCGTGCCCGGAGTGGTTTTCGCCACATCCACTAGAATGCCTGCCGAGGCTCCGGCTTGTGGAACGGTATGCTCCTGCCAAAGAGGAGATCGAAGAATTGCTTTCATCTACGGGAGTGATCAAAATTGGAAGCCTGGGAGAAGTGATGTGGCACGCCTGGCTGGAAAGAGACAGCAGGGAAATCTGGGAACATGAAGGATTGTGTGCCTGCGGTCGTCGGACGCGATTGTTTGGGCAGTGCATGCAGTGCATTGCTGCTGAACATGCAGAGAACGTGCAGGCGCGGGCCGACCAAGAGGCCGCCGATCAGGAAACCCTTGTGGAAGGCAGATTCAAGCTGGAAGAGGCTGAAGAAGACAAAGTCGCAAGTCTCAGTCCTGTCGTGGAAGCTGGCGGGTTATCGAACCAACTCAGAAACTGGCTGGATTCAGTATGTGAGGGATCGGTTCCGATGACTCAGGTTCGTGCAGAGAAGAACCAGAAAGCTGGAGGAAAATCCACAGACCAAACAGCTAGACTCTCGCAGTCAGAGACGCAGAGCTAAAAGCTCTTGCGGTCGAAGACGCAGAGTCAAGGTCCTGCGGTTACCATTTGGTACGCGGACCTAATAATTCGTAAGAAGGTGTGGCGACACTAGGCAGGGGGGCGAATGTGAACCCAACCCCTGATGTAAAGTGCCTAGTTGTCTGACCCCTTCTGTTTGTAGGGCTACTGGGGAGCCGCGTTGAGTTTACTCCGCTTGCTCCTGTCACTTTTGGCTCAAGATGGTGAGCTGTGACTCCGGTTTCACTGCAGCTTTGCAAAGCAAGGTTGTGGCGCAACTGAGCAGTAGCCGACCGTGCGACAAAGGGTGGCAAAAGGTGATCTCTGCGCCGGCGAGGTGAGACTGGCGGGACCCCAAACACCCCTTTTGGTTCGCAGTGTCTATATATATATATATATGTATATATCATATGAAAATATTGTGTATCATATTGTCATATCTTATACCACACATCGCATCGTACGCTACAATTAATTCATATCTTAAATTGTCTATGATATAAGAGTGTATCATATATCTATATCATATTATGTTGTACATATCATGTGTATATTGTATGTGTATGTATCTACACACCATATCATGTGTACACTTATATAACAATTCGTTATTGAGCATCATTTAGCTAGCTTTCGGTGTCCTGTGCGCATGCAGCGATGCTGGTCTGCCTGCTCCTCCTGCTTCTTCTTGGTTCCACCACAAGCCCAGCGTGGATTGAGGTGCAGCAACATCTGGCAACAAGGCGCGGCAAGAGTGATTTTTTTCAATGGCAAAAACAGGCTTCCCATGGCTTCCCCTATTCTATCCCCGTAGTCCTGATCACTGAAGGCCAAGGCCACCAGGGACCGGAGCTTGTCAACATCTCCTGGTCTTTTTCAATGGGGGCATCTCCAAGTCACCGTGGGTTTCGAAACACGAAATGTCACGGTCATCCATGACGACTGGATGAGGACTGGGGGGTACCCCCATGACAAAACGGAAACTCGATATGAGAACATGATGGTTAACCAGTGGATCTGGGGATTATATGGGGATTGCAGTATTATACCCAAATCCTCATGGGAACATATGGGCATGATTCACCAGAGGATTTGGGTATGATCCCCATGTTTGGAGAGATGCCCAAGAAACGCGTCGTGCGTCCTGTGAAGATGCGTTCAGGTCGACCCCGACCGCCAACACGAAGTACATCCTGGGAGGTCCGTAGAGGACTATATTTCTGGCAGTGCTCAACTGAGCCGTTCTTAGATTCTCCTATATAATTATATATATATATAATATAGATTTACGTCCCGAAAGGTCCCTCCAATCCCGGTTTGAAGCAAATCTGGTTGCCGTCTCAAGCAGCCTCTCATAATTTTTTTTGGCAGCCAGAGCAACAGTTGGACCATGTTGGACCCGGCCATTCTCTCGATGAGAATGTCGAAGGTACCCAAAACCTGCGTTCCTTCCGGCAGTTGAAAACAGCTTCTGTGCAGCTCATGTGCAGCTCATTACTGTATAATATAGTATTATCATGTTTTATCATGTTTTATCATGTTTTATCTGACACTTTGAGCAAGGAACAAGGGGTGTAAAGTCTTACTGGACAGATCCAAACATTCCAAACTCTCTCTGCACTTTGGCTTCCTTGAGAGTGAAGCGCCTAGGCGCAACAAAGGCGCTTGGCCGGTGGCTTTCCATCTGCGGCAGCAGTGGATTGAGTATTCGACGTCACTTGAAGACCACGTTGCTGAGGAACGAATGGCTCATCAGGCAGGAGTTCAGCCACACCCTCCTGGAATGAACAGCAACCCCTGCCCTGAACATGGCGCATCTATAACCACTGGCATTCGCGCCGAACAGGATTAGTGATTGTGGCTTAAGGCCAGACGGCCAGCAAGAATGTATGGCTAATGCGGATTCGGCTCCCAAAACACTAGTCATTTCACTAGCATGGGAAGAGTATCGGCCACAGTTTTGAAAACAGACAGGCAAGAATCCATCATTTTTTGATGATTGCGACAGATGACTTTCCGTCTGGACAGTCCGGCCCGCGTTTCAAGAAGGTGCTTGGAGCAACGGTTTCTCCCATCCAAATTCAATTCATCCAAGTGTCAAAGAGTCTCAAGACATTCTTGCCGCTCATGGCAGAGGTGTCAAGCAAGAACCTTGGTTGATTTTGATTGGGGTACCCTCTAGTGAACTAACATAGCAATGGAAAATGGCTATTTATAGTGGATTTTCCCATTAAGAATGGTGATTTTCCATTGCTATGTTAGTTCACCAGAGGGTAGGTTTTGACCCAATTTGGTAGGAGTTTGCATGGAACCATCTATGACTCGATTTGAACTCTTTTTTGATATCTATGAATCACAGCTACAAAATTGATGCAGGATAGAAATGGAGTTTCATCCTTGTTGCCCAAAATAAGATCAAGTTCTTGCCTGGGAACCAGAAGTCCCAATTGTTGTGATCCCAAATTGTTGTTGGCTAAATCCCAGTTTTTTGGTTGGTTCTATGACTTGAGGCCAAGGGGTAACGAAAGCCAGCAGGGTGGCTACATCACCGACCTGCTGGAGCCCATGGTTCCCTCTGGAATCCCCGATCTTGATGGAAGAAAAACACCACTTTTCTGTTGGTAAAATCCCAACAGAAGAACTGGCGGAACGGGAAGATCTTCCGATTCATGCTCAAAAATCATCAAAAATCTCACGACTTGTCCCATCGTTGCTTCTTAAATCCACTTTTATGCTGGCAAAACCCTGAAATGATGGTGACATATCTCCATCTTTCTCGCTCGTTTTTCTGCCATCCACCATTTTTTGGTACCAAGGGGCAAGCCCTCCTGCTGTGCGAAGCTTTCAGCCTTCTCCCAGGGAACTTGTCGTTTCTCTTCCATGTCAGCCTGCTGGAGTTTCTGCAAAACTGGGGAGTTCATCAGCCAAATTTCAAAACTTGGGAAGTTTGAAATCGGAATTTCAAGAAATGGTAACATGTTTTACGGATAGTTCACCCAAAAAATCGGATTTGAACAGGGAAAATGGTGGAAGATTATGGAAAATTGGGATTTACCTGCCGGCAGTCCAAGCTGCCTGGCTGGAAAATTCACTGTTTTTAAATGGGAAAAGCAAACGTAATGTACATGTAATGAAACGTATGTCTATATATATATATGTATATATCTATATATATATATATGTGTATATCTATATATATATATGTGTATATATATAGTATGAAACGTATATTCATATATAATGATATATAATGAATATACGTTTCATACGAAATATATTGGATTTTTCCAGCGGCAGGCCACTTAAGTTTATCAGAGCGCAACCGGGCGCTGTTGGTGTTTGTGGAATCGTCTTGGGTTGTTGTTGGAATGTGAATCACCACCCAATGTTTAACCATCCTTTGATTGAGTTTCTGTGGCATTGAACCATACCTTTTCTAAAGCAATGGGAAAAATGCGGAGATAGCTTGACACGCTGCAGAGCGAGGGATTTGAAATCGGATGGCTTGCAGTATGTTGTAGGATTGAAGGTGCGACAAACAAAGAACACATGTGAACAAAGAATTCATGGCAAAGACGGAGAACATAAATTACTTGAGGCAAGCGACATTGAAAGCTACATTCATGTATATACATCTATGATCATCTATGCAGGTATGTGTGTGTGTAAACATATATGTATATAATATCAATGATCGTGAGCATGCGTGTATACATGCATGTATGCTTTGGATGCATCTTGGATTACGTCACAGTACCTTGGATACGATGTGCAAAATAGCACCTTCTGACATACTTGCATTCTCAAAAACATACATACTCACATGATATGGTAATGTACCTGGCATGTACAACAAAATAACAAAACACCTAACACGACACTTCATTGCACCGGATCACACTAAGTTACATCTCCATTACATCACATGCATCTGCATACACCGTGCGAAAAAGGAGTAATTCTATATACCATCCGGTTATTTAACATAGCCATGGAAAATCACCATTTTTAATAGGTAAACCATCTATTTCTATGGGTCATCTATACCATGGCTATGTTAGTCATAACCAGAGAGTATATCCAAAAACAGTCTATCGATCCAAAGCATTTTTTTCCGTATACGTCCGTGGAACGGAGGTCGAAATCACTGACCTTGTTGGCTGCCAGTGCGATGACAATGTTTGGATTCGCACTGGTGGACATGACCTGCCGAATCGAAAAGCGCAGCAAACATAGATGTGAAATTCCCACTAAACGTAATAAAATGGTAATAGGGGTCCCAGAAAAATGAAAAGTCTCGAAAAGTTGTGGTACCCTTCTATTTCCGTGAGAAGTTTCTCATAGTTTCTCTATCTCTTTAGGGGATCACCCTCTTGGTGCAGCAATGTCATATGGCCATATGGATTGATGGTTCATACCACCCAATCCAAAATGGGTAAATGTGGGGATGGTGGATCCTATGGCCCAACATTAGATGATTTTCCCAGCCAAGTGTTCCTTCGCTGTTTTTTAAACATCTGGGGTTTCCTAGAATTGGGGTACCTCATGGTACCATCCATTTTTTTCATGGATTTTTCCATCATGAACTCACCATTCATGGATTTTCCAGCCGCGTTTGACGACCAGATCCTGCCTGTCGCACCCACTCTTGCGCGCGCTCAAAGGTGACAGCGTTGGTCTGGTCGTAGACCACGACAGCTGCCGAAGCACCCCTGGACGCCATGGGATTTTCCCGGTAGCAAACAGTGAAAATCCATGGGTTTAATGGGGAAAATCCATGTTTAACAACTTCACTTTAAGGATGTTTAAAGTGTGTTTCAATTGCCATATGTGTGTTTACAGGAGGGTCACCGGGGTTTGGAAATCATGTCTACTGGTTTGTCATGATGCAATGGTTCAGCTTCAATTCTGCCATGGTCGGTAACCCACATAAGTTTGGCAAGGGAGATCAAGAGTACCACACACTTCCAGAAGTTGAAAGGTGATTGGTGCTTGAGTTCTCCTTTTTCATTCTCTTTCCTTGAGTTCGTTCTGTACCACTCCAGGTATGGGGCTATGTGACAATGTCATGCCTAGAAAATCCATCGAAACCATACAAGATATTACAAGTCACAACAAACCATAACAATCAACTTTAATAAACATACCATCTTGGTGTCTTTCATACAACATCACAACATATCACAACACCGATATGTAGCGCCTGTAGTACATGGGAGCAAGACTCCGAAATCTTTCCTGCCCAGCTGTGTCCCATATCTCGAATTTCACCTCGGTCCCATATCTCGAATCATCAGTCGTCATGAAATAAACATATGATGAAAAATGAACCACTTGGAGTATTCCTGGATTCTTATGATTCTTGAACCACATGAAATAAATATGTAGAGATATAGATAAATAATGACATGACATGTACATAAATGTACAGACTGTGTAATGTTGACCTACGATTTATAAAACTACCCTGAATAGTGCTAACAAAACTACTCCAAAACTAAATAATAAGCCGCGTAGATCCCCAACAGCGGTTGGTTTCAAACAGTGGTCCAACTTTGCAACCCAAGACGGATTAATGATGGCAGGAACAGGATTCCATAGCCTAAGTCTCTTCGGCGATTTTTTGCCCGCCCTGCCCCGTCCCCTTTTGGACCAAAGGCAAGATGAGACATGTTCTTTAAGAAAGCGCGCATAATTGAATTTACATACATTTGGTTACAAACGAATGGCAGTATTTGCAGACCACGGTGTGTCATTAAGTGTTTACAAAATTGTGTGTGTGTGTGTGTTGGTTTGGGATTATCTTGTCGTGCTTGGACAACGTCGGTCAGTTTGCGCAAGTGATTGGTGAAACAGTTGGTTTTGGCCAAATTGTCCATCATGATTCCAGAATTAGTTTCATGTCAATACTTGGTTGTTGTGTCACAACTGTGTCTGAAGTTTCATTGTGTGTTGCTGTTTGGTCACTTAGCTTTAAAAAAATCATCTACCTGGCTTCGAGAAGCCTCACACAGGTTTGCTGCCAATATTTAGGTGTTCCAAGGCATCGAACTTAATTGCTTGATGTGGCATGTGCTTTGGTAGATGCGACATCGGAACAGTTCAAACAGAAGATTTTACAGCAACATCAGAACAGGTCAGTCGACCGACGCTGTGCGCCCACTGAGCAAACGAACATGAATCGGCATGTGCGGAACCCGCCACAAAGCACCCAAGATTGGCTGGGGGATTTCCGGAATCCCTTGTGTTCCTGGAACCTTGTCTTCCTGGAACCCTCGTTTCCGGAACCTTGGCACAACCCACAGCGTATATTGGAACCCTGGGTTTGCGGAACCGAGACGCGCTGATTTATTGTCACGCTGTGCCCCCCCCTGTCAGCGATTGCTCGTTGACAGGGCCTATATGGTCCTGGAACCTTGGTTTCCTTGAAAATTGGTTTTCTGGGACCCTGTCCGTAGCATGAACCTTGGTACAACCCACGGCGTATATCCGACCCCTGGGTTGTTTCCGGAACCTCGGAACCTTGCCAGAACCCTGGTTCTCTGGAACCTGGGCTGGGCTTCTTGAAAATTGTTGTTCCGCAACCTTGTCCCTGTCCGGAACCTGTGGCATAATCCAGGAAGTATATCCAAACTGTGGGTCCGCATCCGCGGTGGTTCTCGGAACCTTGTCGGAACCCAGTGTTGCTGGAACCTTGCCGGAACCCTCGTTCCCCAAACTCTGGGTTTCCAGGATGTTTCAAAATTGGTGTTCCGGTGATTCCAGAACCGCTCGAAACCATGGTAAGGTTCCCGGAACCTTGTCGAAAGCCAAGTGTGCCCGGAACCTTCCTGGCGCCGAGAACCTGGGGATCCCGGAACCTTGACGTCCCGGAACCCAAAAGGTAGCCAGAACCCATTGTTCCCAGAACCTTGCTTGAAAGTCTGGTTTGCGGAACCTTGGGTTCCTGGAACCTTGCCCCGAACCCTGGTTCCCGGAATCATGAGTTCCGGAACCTTGCCCGGAACCCTGGTTCCCGGAACCGGCAGCGGTTGGTTTCAAACAGTGGTCCAACTTTGCAACCCAAGACGGATTAATGATGGCAGGAACAGGATTCCATAGCCTAAGTCTCTTCGGCGATTTTTTGCCCGCCTTGCCCCCTCCCCTTTTGGACCAAAGGCAGGATGAGACATGTTCTTTAAGAAAGCGCGCATAGTTGAATTTACATACATTTGGTTACAAACGAATGGCAGTATTTGCAGACCACGGTGTGTCATTAAGTGTTTACAAAATGTGTGTGTGTGTTGGTTTGGGATTATCTTGTCGTGCTTGGACAACACCGGTCAGTTTGCGCAAGTGATTGGTGAAACAGTTGGTTTTGGCCAAATTGTCCATCATGATTCCAGAATTAGTTTCATGTCAATACTTGGTTGTTGTGTCACAACTGTGTCTGAAGTTTCATTGTGTGTTGCTGTTTGGTCACTTAGCTTCAAAAAATCATCTACCTGGCTTCGAGAAGCCTCACACAGGTTTGCTGCCAATATTTAGGTGTTCCAAGGCATCGAACTTAATTGCTTGATGTGGCATGTGCTTTGGTAGATGCGACATCGGAACAGTTCAAACAGAAGATTTTACAGCAACATCAGAACAGGTCAGTCGACCGACGCTGTGCGCCCACTGAGCAAACGAACATGAATTCGGAATTCAGTGAGGGGCCACAAAGCACCCAAGATTGGCTGGGGGATTTCCGGAATCCCTTGTGTTCCTGGAACCTTGTGTCCCTGGAACCTTGTCTTCCTGGAACCCTCGTTTCCGGAACCTTGGCGCAACCCACAGCGTATATTGGAACCCTGGGTTTCCGGAACCGAGACGCGCTGATTTATTGTCACGCTGTCCCCCCCCTGTCAGCGATTGCTCGTTGACCGGGCCCTTTTGGTCCTGGATTCTTGGTTTCCTTGCAAATTGGTTTTCTGGGACCCTGTCCGTAGCATGAACCTTGGTACAACCCACGGCGTATATCCGACCCCTGGGTTGTTTCCCGAACCTCGGAACCTTGCCAGAACTCTGACCTTGTCCCTGTCCGGAACCTGTGGCATAATCCAGGAAGTATATCCAAACTGTGGGTCCGCATCTGTGGTGGTTCTCGGAACCTTGTCGGAACCCAGTGTTGCTGGAACCTTGCCAGAATCCTGGTTCCCCAAACTCTGGGTTTGCAGGATGTCTCAAAATTGGTGTTCCGGTGATTCCAGAACTTTGGCACAATCCAGGCTCTGGCTGCTCGAAACCATGGTAAGGTTCCCGGAACCTTGTCGAAAGCCAAGTGTGCCCGGAACCTTCCCGGAACCTTGACGTCCCGGAACCCAAAAGGTAGCCAGAACCCATTGTTCCCAGAACCTTGCTTGAAAGTCTGGTTTGCGGAACCTTGGGTTCCTGGAACCTTGCCCCGAACCCTGGTTCCCGGAACCCTGGGTTCCCGGAACCTTGCCCCGAACCCTGGTTCCCGGAACCGGTTCTCGGAACCCTGGTTCCCGGAACCGGCGAAACGAGGCGGCAGGGTCGAGCAGTGCCCCGGAGCACCCCGAAGGCTATGTGGGCTGAGACCCCAAAGCATTCTGCTGTTGGGGAATAAAACTACCCTGAATAGTGCTTTAAAAAAATTTGGCCCCAAACCCAGATTGGGCTGGAAAAAAATGTCCGTGCTTTATTTGAGGTGGCTTTCATGTACTAATTAATACTGCCAGCTCATTAGATCTTACCTTGATAACTTCAAATTTTCAAAAATAATGGATGCTCTTTCTATTCAAATCCTTTATTCAAAATTATCCAAAATCAATCCCAAATCAACTCATCAAGGGTACCCCCCATGAGGTGCCTTAGCACTCATTAGAGTTTGACCCTGAATAAAGCTAATTTTTTTTGGCCCTAAACCCAGATTTGCCCAGATCCACGAAATGTATACTAAATCAATACTAAATCCATGACATGAGTACTAGATCAATACTAAATCCATGACATGAAAACTAAATCAATACTAAATCCATGACATGAATACTAAATCAATACTGAATCCATGACATGAATACTAAATCAATACTAAATCCATGACATGAGTACTAGATCAATACTAAGTCCATGACATGAGTACTAGATCAATACTAAAACAATTGCTGGATTCCTTTCTTTTTTGAAATTGCGTTTTATGTATTTGTTTTCAATTGTGGTAATTTAAAACCTTTACATACAAACAAGTTTGATGGTGGCTTTAAGTTGATTTAGGGGAAAAGAGGGGGGGAGGGCCCCCCTATTTATAAATCAGAGGTGGACATTACATATATAATTAGTAACTCCATAAAATGGATCAAGATGGATCAGGAACATTTATTGATCCAAGCGACCTGTCGCCCCCGCGACTCGATGGTCTTGGTGTTAAAGGCAGCACCAACCGTGGTCTCCTCACACTTTTAACAAGGCTGCCATGGCTGGCGTTAAAAAAAGAATGGGATGACAAAATAACATGGCAGATCTTGTTTCATGGATTGAAAAATGTGATCCACCTTCAACGTAATACTATGTGATCATCATCCCCAGTAATTACATGTAATTACTAGTATGAGGAAAAATGAAGAACAATATAGATCAATATAGAACAATTGAAGCCACTAAGCAGGACGGAAGATTGGCTCACTGACTCTGCAGAAGATTTCAATCCTTTGAAGCCTAAAGGTCACATGAGATGTCTGAATCTGTGCAACCAAACCAAAAAACCTGCAAAAAACATGCAAAATCTCAAACATGAAGACCATGAAAATCCCGGACTTGGCCCATGGGCAACAAGATGGTGAAACTGGTGACCTCCCGAGCTTTGCTAACCGCAAGTTATCACCACATCAAGCGCCTGCCTGGCACCCATGGGCACCCATGGTGTCCAAAAAAATGGACAAACCCAGCATTTTATCATGAAAGTGATCCAATCATCCAATCATATAGTTTTATGGGATGATCCCATAATGCTAACCGCAAATTGATCATCCCATATCATCCCATCATCCGACGAGGGGCGATTTCTTCGGAGAACTTGTTGTGCAAGAAGCGCATCAAAATGCTGGATTTCCCCACCGAGGCATCCCCCAGGAGCACCAGCTTGAAGCCTTTCCGTGGCATCCGCGTCGCATCGCCATAAGACATGGGGAACTCACTGAAGCTGCAACCTGTTCTCCAAGATTTTCCAGCAGATCTTAACGGCTTGAACTCTGTCAGGATGTCGCGTTGCAAGGTATCATGATTTCTTGAGATTCATGTGTTTGTCTTTAGATGTCTCACTTTCTGAATCACGTGACATTCAGTCAATGGCAAATGGCAAGCGGATTGGATGCAAGGCAAGCGGACTGGATGAAAGCAATGTTGTAACAAGTTCCAGGTACGTCTGTATAGCCAGCAGCGTCAATCAACAACCTAAATACTCAACTATTCTCATTACCATCCAGTCTATTCCGGTTTCAAGGACCGTATATATTCTTGATGGTAGGTATATGTAAGTTCCCCATGTTGGCGCACATATATTATGCTTTTTTTTTTTGGAAGGTATGTCTGCCACCTTGCTCCGATCGTGTCCTCACAGGACAAGACTGAGATGCAAACGTCACCTCTGTCGAGCTTGTGATGCATGGCAGCCAGAAGCTCCTGACGCAGATTTTGTTAGAATATGTGCGTGTGTGTGTGTACATATGTCTGTACAGTATATATAGTCATCCCCAAAAAGCTAGACAAGTAAATTCCCACCAAAATAGTGATAAATCACTGTTCTATCTATTTGGGGGGGTTCCATAAACATATATACAAATATATGTATATATACATATGTATATAATTTCCATAATCATGTATAATCATGTATATATATATATATACACGTATATGTGCTGTATATATGCTGAAATTATGGCAATTCACAGCTTCAATCCAGCTCTGAATCAAGGATGTTTCCCATCCATGATCTCTTTTCTACTATCTGAGTGGATTGTCTCACACTTTGGATCCCCGAAGAAACCATAATTTATGATCATTTTCTCCACTCAAGTTGCTACAAAACTGGGTGGAAATCCAATCATTTTGAGATTTTTGAGACAAACCCATCTTGGAGATTGTTGGCATTTGCAAAATCCTGCTATATCCCCATTTGATATATCCATTGTCCTCCCATTTCTGTGCTTATATCCCCATGAAGTCTGGATTCGCTCCTCCAGGTTACTCCGTGCTCCACTGGGTTTCAGAAGCTTGAGAAAGCGAACCTCTTCGGTGCGCAGAGCCAGGATTTTGGGAGATCTGCATGGGTGTTTTGGGGGATTTCATGTGGATTTCGTCCGAACATGTTCTAGATCTAATGAGATTGTTCCTGGGGACATAAATTGGATGTAAGGGCGATTTAATAGGAGTTGGCCCAACAAGAATGGGGATAGAATATGATAGAATGATAATGGGATGTAATGTGGGATAGGCTATTAATAGAACGAACCAACTCAATAGTTGGGTGCGTCTGAAAATTTCTCCTGTTCCCCTGATTTGTTTGGAGCTGAGGGGGACAGGCAGGGAGTCATATGACTCAAACTGCTGGCTGGATGTTGATTCCTCCAGTCATATGGTAATGATCCTGGTAATGGTCGGTTTTGACCCATTACAGAAGCGCAGCAATGGCTCCGGCCAGGGCCCCAGCGGTGAGATCTGTTGCGTCTGTGGTGAGCGACTCAAACTTTTTCGGAATTATGGACCTTTGGAAGACGAAGAAATGTGTGGAGAAGGTCAGAAAAGAGCAAAGACAAGTCCAATTGTAAGTCCTCTCAGAGCCAACACTGTCACTCACTGCAGCAACAGGATCTTTAGAGATATAGAATGAATGTATATCATTAATCTATGATGTGGTGTATATATATATTTAGATATTCTATTTAGATATTCTATTTAGATATATAACAATGACAATGTTCGAAATATCTTCACCGAAACCAGCACCTGAAATTCGAAAAAGCCACATATATGCTGCCGAAATGCCAATCCCTCGTGAAGGAGCCCAAGGCCTTTGCACCCCTGGGGGCACCTGCACCTCGGGAGATGTTTAGCAATGAATCCCCTCCCCCGGAAACGCAATGAGTTTCCTGGTTTTTTGTAGGGAATTTCCACATGGGAACAGAAAATGGGGGCGTTTTATATTGCAAAAAAAAGGGGGAAGGGATAGCAAAGCGTGAACCTTGCATCTCACGATTTTCAAACATCAGATCCAAGCAGTATAGGTTTCTGAAGCCAAAACTGCCGTCGAATGGGACTGCAGTCCTATCCACATTCGACACAACGTACCACAAGCGCAGCCTGACCCCAAGATTTTGGGGATGCCGACGAATCCACTCCACAAAGAGAGAATGCATCATGATGGGCTCTGAGAAGGTCCTCCCCAATGCCATAGTGTTTGGCAGTGTTTGGGAGTCAGAGTCCAAAAAAAAAGAGAGAAAAGCAGAGGTATCGCACTAAAATAGTTCAAATAATAAGAAGTTGATGTGAGTTGGTAAATTACCATTCTTACCAGTGTATCTTACCATTGTTGATGGTAAAGTACTGATTCTTTCTTTTGGGGGGTTACCACAGAACATCTCAACGGCAAACGGGTAGACACTGGAAAAAAAACACGTTTGACTACTGGAAAAAAAAATAAGGTTCACCCCTACTCTCCACACTGGAAAAAAAAACTTAAGACACTGAAAAAAAAAACTTAAGAATCTGTACTTTGAACCTTTTTGCAGCTGAAATCTCTTATTTGTACAATATGTGCAGGGTTTGGGCACTTAAACATGCAATTGCATGATATTTAAAGCGTTTTGGCCTTGAATAATTCAATTTTGTGCAGCTGAAATCTCCTATTTGTAGAATATTTGCAGGGTTTTGGAACTTAATTATGCAGTTTGCATGGTATTTAAAGCGTTTTGGCCTTGAATCCCTTGTTTGCACCGTGCTCGCAGCATCTTGGAGCCAGCATCTGTACTGGGGATTATCTGCAGCATTTCGTGTTATTTGCAGCATATTGTCTAGAGTTAGTTTTTGGATCTATTTCAGGTTGGTTAGGGTGTATTTGGGAGATCAAAGGATGAGAAGGGTAAAGGACCAGGTAAAGGACCGGCCTGAATATGAGACCTTGTTTTAGATGCCCGAAGTGCAGTCCACCAGTTTCTCACTTGGAGCTGGTGTTTACCTTTCAAAAGGCTAGTTGGACGTGGACTCTCCCTTTGGATTTGATTCGACCCAGCCTTGTTTGACCTGACTTTCTGAAACAGTTTCCCAACAAACTGACTTGTAAGGAGACCCTAATGGTGAGCACTTTCTGTTTTGAACCACTACAATCCCTTGCTTTGGTTGGCGTTTGTGGCTCTTGAGCTTTGTGCGGCCCTGGTTTTGCCGCCTTTTCGCTTTGATGGACTTCATAGGCCCTGAGTATGCATGGATGCTCCATGACCCCCCTGGGGTTGAACTGCAGATGGATGAGGAGGGTAAGGGACCAGGGCATCAAGAGGACCTAGGGGAGCAAGGGACCAGAGGACCGGGACCAGAGGACCAGGGGACCAAAGGATCAGGGGAACCTGAAATTGTTTTTCCAGTAAATTTATATATATATATATATTTTTGTCCAGGAAACTTAGATTTTGATTCCAGTATCATCCCGCCCCCTCGATGGCTGGCCCGGTCCCATGATCACACCAGCGGCGTGCCGCGAAGGAGCGGTCCAATTTTTGCACATACTCCTTCTGGTCCTGCAGCTGCACGGCTAGGCCCCCTTTAAACGAAATGAATCAGGTGGTGTGGATCATAATTCCATTTCTAGGGTAGTTGCATGTAATAATACGTATATATGATAACATATTTATAATGCTAATATGTATATGTATATATATATATATATTGTGCTTTCTCCAATCCTTTCCAGTGCAGGGACTTGCATGTGGCCACCTGGATGCATATGACATCTAGGCTCAATCCGACCAGGGGGTCGCAGTTGGTGGCAAAACAATGGCGTCGGTGTGCGCTTGGTGATTTGGGGCCAGGAGGCCATACAACCATTTTGGCCAGGGGCCATACATCTCATTTCCTTGGGGTTCAAGGTCAATCTACAATCCTTTTGGTGCTGTTAGGGATTCTTGTGGGCCTGCTACCAGTTTCATACTGGTAGCGGAGCCATCGTGCTCACCGCTACTGGGAATCAACACTGTGTCTTTAGCGAAAGTGAGTGGATCCAGGAGATATGTCTGGTCCGGATGGAACTTCAGAGGCGACGTCCGGTGGAAATACAGGTGGTTCCAACTCATTTTTACCATGGCACTTGATCCCTCCGTTCAAACCAGGAGAGACGGATGTGAATGAATACACAAGACGCCTTGAGTTTTTGGCGAATATTTGGCCGAAAGAGCACTTGCCGCTCTTAGCACCGAGAGCCTGCATGTTGTGTGAAGGGTCAGCATTTGCCAAAGTAGTCCGACTAGATCCTGAGAAGCTGCGTGTGTCCTCCATTGATGGAGTGAAGCTGGTGGTTTCCACCCTCGGTGGTGTCTGGGGGCAGTCTAGGTTGGAAAAGAAATATGAGAGATTTGAAAGAGCGATTTTCGGAACAATTCAGAAGGCTGACGAGACTCATACCAGTTACCTGGCTCGACACGAGGTACAGTATGAGGACCTGATTGGAATGGGGGCTACGCTTGAAGAAATGCGAGCGTACATACTCCTGAGAAACTCGGGGTTGTCAGCGGAAGACAAAAAGAGAATCATCATTGAGGCCAAAGGTGAACTGGAGTATAGCAAAGTTACCTCAGCTCTGCAATTACTTGGTTCCAAATTTTTCGGAGAAGTTCAATCAGGTGGTGTCAAGGTTGCAGGTCGAACCAAGACATACGATGTTAATCTGGTTGATGAAAGTGAACAAGATGTTGAAGATCATGATGAATCTATTTTTGTATCCATGGAAACCTCAGAAGATCAAGCTCTTGAAGTTCTGATGGCAGAAGGTGATGAAGATGCTCTCACAGTCCAGCAATTTGAGGACACTATCATCGAGTCCCTCCAGAGCGATCCTGAGGTCGCATCGTGTCTCAATGCCTACGCTGATGCTCGGCGAAGGTTACTTGACAAAGCCCGTGGCCGAGGATTCTGGGGCCCTCAAAAGGGGGTAAAAGGAAAAGGCAAGGGGGGAAAGCACAAAGGTGGTTTCCGTTCACAATTCAGAAAGCCGCTTGCACAACGGATTCTTGAAAGCACCTGCAGGATCTGTAATCAAAAGGGTCACTGGAAAGCCGAATGTCCTCAAAGGAACAGGACTGTCCCTTCCGCAAGCAGCCAATCTGGCGCCGCCGCCTTTGCTGGAGTTGTGACTGATGCCTCGCAAGATGGAGAGATGATAGATGTGGTCGATGAACTGCCATCGGAAGCCGTCGCCTTCATGGTTGATGAGGTCAGAGTCGGTACAAATCAGGGGTCATGGGGTAAAGGGAAGCCTTACATGTCTAACAGATTTTTTCCACCAAGTCTTGTTAGATGTAGTTGGAATCCAGAACCATTGAAGTCCCAATTGATGAAAGTCCGTCCAGACCTTACCAGACGACTGCAAGCCCTTTGCAGGAAGAGCCCAATGACTGAAGAGAGAGCCAATAGCATGCCGCCACCTGCCGACCCCCTGCGTCCAACAGTGACTGGGAGTCTATATCCTGTCGAAACAGCCTGTTTTGTGTCCCATGGGTCCTCAGGAATAGTAGACTTAGGTGCCAGCATGTCAGTCATAGGCCATGACCAGTTTGTTGAACTTTGCCGACATCTCCCAAAACATGTCAAGCAGAATATGCGTGAGGCCCCATGCTCCGTGAACTTCCGTTTTGGAAACGATAGCACTGTCACCGGAAAGCGTGCCGTGTTTTTTCCAGTCGGCCAGCAATGGGTTAAGGTAGTGGTAGTACCCTCCAATACACCATTCCTGATAGCCAATAGTGTGTTTCGTGCTTTAGGAGCCGTTATCGACACTGGAGCTAATGTGATCCATTTCCAGAAGCTGGGCCGATCAATCCCAATGGTCTTGACAGACCGGAAGCTCTATCGGCTAGACCTCGCCGAACTTCTGGACACCCGTCCGAATGTGCCGCAAAAGGAGTTAGCCGTGGCCCAGGTGAGTGTAGGAACTGAACCAGATGTGGATAGTGGAATTCACCATGAGAAAGTCAGCATCCAAGGAGCCAAGAGCATGACCAATGAGGCCCAGAACCATTTGTTTGACCGTGCATCATGTCACGATAATGCGAGGCTCAAAGGTTTGACAGGTGATTGCCCAGAACGACCGTTCCTAGACCAGAAACCTGAACACCATGGCATCGTCCCAGTCCTTCGATCAACTGGCAGACCGTCTCCGCCGTTTGTCTCTGAACGAAGGGGCCAATCAGGAGACACTCCACGAGATCAAGAACATGAAGCTGGAAGATCTCAAGAGTTGTGTCATCGACTTCGGCAAAGCCCATGTCGGAAAGAAGTACCAGGACATGATTTCAGAGACCCGGTATCTGACGTGGTTTGCAGACACCTATCGAGCCAGTCAGAAGCCCTCTCATGTGAAGTTCCTGAGATTCATAGAACTCCATGTGACTCAGATCGAACAACAGTTGAGCCAAGCCCGTCCGAAGACCATGGCAAAGGCCAAGGCGACCGCCAAAGCCAAAGCCCAGATGCCGGAGCGGCAACACGATCCGTGGCACCAGACCAGCTCCGAGGAGGAGGATGTGGAGACCCTGGATGCCGAGCCATGGAACACAATCACCGAACCGGACTTCTCCATGGAGCCGGTTGTGCAGTCTCGCATGGACCACCTGGAGAACATGATGAACCAGATCCTGATGCACTTGAATCAGGGGCACCAAGCCCTGAACAGCCCTGCTGCGCCGTAGATAGCCATACAGTTGCCGACTTCTGCGCTCAATGGCAAACCAATCAAGAGCCAAACAAAATTTTGGACCCAATGCTGGAAGTAGATGTAGGGGAGAACATCTATCTTGCTCGTGAGAATAACTGGGTAGCTCAAGAAATGTGGAAATACCTTAGAAGTAAGGGAATTTTCCAAGACCCCAAACAGCTATCCCGAAACCACCATGACCTGCTTGAGGTCTACTGCAGTCCCGAGAGTGAATTAACTAATCAAGCCAGAGCACAGGGTCTGCTGGCAGAACGTTTCTGCCTTCGTGATGGAGATCTGTCCACAGTGCAGGGGTGCTTTCGCCTTTATGAACGCATGGTGTCTTTGCTGCCCCGAAACATATGGTTGTCTCCCAAGTGTAAAGCATGGTGCAAGTGGAATGTGTATAACATGTCCAAATCCCCAGAACTTGCCCGGAAGATCATGGAAAGTCGCCAGGAT